CCATTTAGAGCGGTGAATTGTATTTCTGTAGAGCTAACAGCCCATAACGGAAGGAGGCAGAAGCAGTTGTACATTAGACCGTACCGAAAAAAAAAGTTCGCTCTACACCACTGAGTCTATAGTATTTTTGCAATTCAATTTCGAAGGGATTTTTTGTTTCTGTCCGAACGTAGGCGGCAAAAAAGAGCAAAAGCATTTTTCCTTATACATGCATATCTTTGGCATTTGCAGTTGGATCTTAAAGTATGTGGCAGGCAGTTTTTTTTGTTTCAAAATTTATTGACCTTAAAACCCCGCTTCCTGCCATACTAGCGTACCACCCTACTGTCAATAAATTAAAGTTCACTCAAAATAACTTTTGCTGAGTACTTCGAGTAGAAGGCAATTTTTTTTTTCCGAACGTAGGTATCGCATTTTTTACATTCTTCATATCTTCGGCATTTACAGTCTGTTCTTAAAGTATATGAATGTTCTTTTCACGACGAGAAAATATTTTTATTATAAAGTTCATTGGCCTCAAGCACTCCGTTATAGTGCTCTGGTGGGCTAAGTTCTTATTATCCTAGCGTACCACCCTAATGTGAGTAAATTAAAGCTTACCAAAAATCATTGAACTTTTGCTATGGATCGATTATTCCAGTAGAACTACAATAAAAAAAAAAAACAAATACTCCCGAATGTAGGTGTCACCGAAAATTGTAATTGTAGGTTCGGCAAAATAATTTTTTTTTTCAAAATTGCCTTTCAAACTTTCTTACTCAAGGGATGTACGGCGCTTTTTTTTTGTTTGTTTGTAAGGTGGTACGGTCTAATGTACAATATGTTTGTTTGTAGGTGCTAATTTCTATGGCGGGCGTGGGCGTTGATGCTGATGCTGATGGTGGCATTATTTTTGCTGTTACATGCATCAGATATATATATATATATGTATGTAGTACATTTTAATACATTTTATGACGCTGTTGTAGATTTTTCTAAATTTTCTTTGCTGCAACTGCATTCGGCTCCTGCCACCTTGTCTCGCAAACACAGCTGGTATTCTTATTGCTTTTGCCTATGTATGTACATATGTATGTGTGATTTCTTTTATGTTGTGTTTGTAGTTGTTATCAACATACATATTAGTGTGGGATGTCATGTGAATTTTTCGTAGACACCATAAATTTTCGCCTGACTGACTAACGGGCGGGCGGGCTGTACTTATTTAACTCCTCTCTTTAACCTCAATCATTCCTCTCTTTTCTACCATACTTTTTATTCCGCTTGCTTGTGCTATTCTTTGTTTGCTCTATTTTTGCTTGCATTTTTCGTTTATGTGTTTTACTTATTTTCGCAATGGCGCAGAAAAAAAGTAAAATGTTATCAAGCTCGTCTGTCAAGCATTTTGGCCCGTTGCGGTTCGTTTAGGTGCAGTTGCTTGTTGTTGATATTTTTTTCATACCATCAAATATTATTTTTCGCTCTCGTTTTTTTTTTTTTTTTTTTTGTGCAGTATTCTTACCACTCGTATGGTCATAGGCAAACTGTATTAAGAGTGGAGCAACAACACCGATATATTGGAAGGAAGTATGGTTAACTCTCGACTTTCGGTTTTTTTTTAACACTCTCCATCCCAATATGAAACCCCTTCGCCGCTGCATATATTAATTTGTATACTTTTCATTGTAATATTGAGCTTTAAGCCTATGTCGTTGAAACGAGGGTAAAGTTGCATATGTATGTAAAACTGGCTTAGGTTGCTAAACAATATACTCGTTCAAGCATTAGGGTTGTCATTAAATGTAGGAAGCATATCTTCATATCACGTCGATGCTACTATAGTCGAAGATATCACATATAAATTTTGTCCCCGATTGGAGACGGTTAAGGCGTGGCGCACAGCGGTCAAAATTCAGATTACCCTATGAAGACGTCTTAACCGACTCCAATCGGGACCAAAATTTTTATATGATATCTTCGACTTTATTGGTATTGAAGTTGGGTATTAAATGCAAAAAAAAATATATTTTTAATTTTTTGGTCTCCATGGAGCATCTGGCCTTAGACCCCATTGCGACACGCCCTAACCCACTCCAATCGGAACCAAAATTTGTATGTGATATCTGTGACCGTGGTATTACCGATTGAAGGGGTGAGACTGAAAAAAATCGCCCATTTGATTTTTTTAAGGACCACCCTAATGCAAATATTTCGTGCCCTAAGGGAGGTTGCCTTGAGATAATGTAATAGTTATTCGTTATCCTGGATTGCTATTGGGTATGTTCGTTCTTGTAGTTACACTTCCACGACCATACTCAGCCCCTTTCGTAGTAACCAACTTGTGCGGTGGCTTGGCTCCCATTAGAAAGGGAAAGAGGGAGGGGGGCTGAGTGGGAGATTCAGTGGGAACATTCCGAAGTCTGCAGTGTCAGTTCATCATTATATGCGGCTGCAAGTAAGTGTATGTGCTAGAGCAAGCGGGCCGTTATATAAATGTGTCCTAAGAAAATTCCTGAATTTCTACTTTTGCGACAAGTAAAAAAAAAAAAATTAATTTAATGAAGAAACGAATTTAGACTCGAATTAGACCCCTTCTTCAGATGAAGACAACGGCAAATCTTTAAAGTACCTTGATTTGAGGGTCTCCGGACCCTTAATGAGCAGGCCTTGCGACATCTACTACAGCTGTCGTGGAAAGGAGCTTGAATTCGGTGTTGGATTTGTGGTGGGAGAGAGGCTTTATCGCTGAGTACTTGCGTCCATGCCCCTGGAAAAAGTTGCAATCACAGCGGGCAGTCAGAATATTCTCCACTCGACTCCCACACCTGCTCACTGATAGATATTTTCAAACTATAGAAAACTATTGATACGACGAGGATTGTTACGCCGCTTTAGACTAAAAATATGGCACACACAACTTGAGATCGGGAGCAACGCGCGATATAGGTGGGATCGATATAGGAAGCTGAGGAGAAAAGCAGGGGAGAGACCCCTAAGTACGGGGTTGAGAAGAGCTAAAGAAGCAGGCTAATGGGAACAACGCCCGAAAATTTTACCAAAAAGTTACACGACTTACTAACACGACAATCTAATGGCCGCTGTCCAGAAAGTACTAAATAGTATTATGGAGGGAACACTTCCAACCTGTTGAGTTGCCCCATAACTATGCACCAAATGCAATTTCACGGCTGAAAAACAATAAAGCTGCTGGCGCTGACGGCATGCCAGCTGATCTAATTGAAATACGACGACGAGGAGCTTATAAATTGCATGTAACTTATGCAGAGTATGGGCGGATGAAGGCTTGCCTGACGATTGCAATTGACTGCTCTATTCACAAAAGAAGCGAGCCCGCCAACTACCGCAGGATTAGCCTTAGTAAAAAAATGCTACTTTGGATTAAGTAGGTAACTGAGAAGTAAAGTTCTTCCTTAACACCGTAAAAGGTCACTACTCGTCATGCCCGTGCTGGTGTATGGCGCGGTGGCATGGACAATGACAATATCCGACCAGGCGGAGCAGGGAGTGCTCGAGAAAAGATTTTCGGACCCATGCGGGTTGGCGGCAGAGAATACCGCACAAACTCGAATGCTGAGCTGTATGATCTTTACCCGCTGGTGGTTGCAGAGGAAGAGGTGGTGAAGTGCTTGGAGTCGAATACCACGGCAAAAAAAGGACTTTAATAGGCTCAGCCAAGATTGCTTCGGCGGTTGTAGCGCTTGGCAAAACAACAGGAACAAGCGCAGGAAATGAAACTTTAACCCCGTGTTTTAGAGAATATTTTTTGGTTGTTGAGTTATGGCAGTCTTCACGATATACGGATAGTCGGATTTTTTAAACAGATATTCGAATAACCGAATTGTCGAATTATCCGGATAGAAACCTTAGTCTCAGTACATATTTGGTAATTATTTTATGATTTGCTTTTTTCGATTGCTTTATGACCGTTATTTTTCAAGCACAATTTTTTCGATAATATTACATAGATTCAAAAGAATCACAATAACTTAAGTAAGATTAAAAATTTTATCTCAGCTATAACGATTAAAAATGATTGAAAAGCTAGAAATTCACGAATAGCCTTTTTTACATAAAAACGAAATATTCAAAAGTAGCGACTATTCTTGATAAGGGCTGGCAGTTCTATCCGGATATTCGAATATGTGATTAAAAATTCAAATTGAACGGATACTATTCGAATATCCTGGTATCAATTTGAACAGATACTATCCGAATATACGGATAGCAAAATTAACGAATCATAATAATAAATTGACGGATATTTGTCGGAAATCTTATTAACATAGGAGAACGGATATTAACCGAATATCAGGTAATAACAATTGTTTTCTGTCGCTGGTATTAACTGACCAAAACTATAGTTTAAGATGATATTTGAATAATAAATTGAAATGTTTTGTATGAAAACTTTTAAAATTGCCTTGCCTTGTTTTTAAATTTGTTCAAAATCTACTCCCTATGCCAACAAAAAAAAAACGCTTCTGTGTAGCAAGCCATGGGTTTAAGCGCAGAAGAATTGTAAAGCCGTTGGGCTACAGTGCGAGTGGTTATTTCTATCGTGTGAGTATCTTCTAGGTTTATTCTCAATTCTCTAGCAGTTTGGAATCTGCCCAAAATCCGATCCTCGCGATCAATGTTTTGGTGTGAATTAAAAAAAGGAGAAACGGCATACTGAGTTGGGTTACGGAACAGTTCGGCCATGAAGTTCGGACTCGGACTCGGATTCGGTTCGGTTTCGGCCGAAATTGGCCGGTTGTAAAGAAAAATTTTTGCAATTTATACAAATATGTGAAAATATTTATTTTTTTCTTTTCGAGTTCGGGCGGACACTATTTACAACCAACTTTCTGAGCCATTTGCCTACTAGCCTTAACTTCTGCGCTTAAACCACTGGTTTACTAAACTGATGCACTTTTCTTTGGCCCGGGGTAACATGTACTAAATCTATGTATGTATGTAGATACGTATTTAATTCATATATTTTCTTTTTTATCGTTTAGGTAAGAAATATTATTCAACTCTTGTTGCTATAAACCTGGATAACATCAAACCAAAATGTATATGTACTGCGTGAGTATACAAAAAAAACTTAATTTCTAAAATTATCTATAAGAAGTTTAATTTGGAACGTGATTTATTTGCAAAGTTTCCAATTATGAAAGCAAAAGCAAAAGAAAATTCAGAACATTTATCGCCGTTAATTTTTCATCGTACAGCAATACTGCAAGACTGTGTAATTATTATCCAATAGTGTTTTTTATATACTGTCAAGTGTTTCGTCCATACACACAGTGAGCGTCAAAAATAAGTATACCCTGTTGATGGCAAATTTTTATTGTTTTTTTTTTAAACCGAGTTCAAAAAAAGAAGAAACTATCAGTCGGAATATTTTTTGTAAGTACATATGTTACGCACATATGTTTACATTCACTTTTTATTTAAATTTTAAACTTTCCATTTAATTATACCTTTCATGAGCATGAAATGGTATTATAACTTTGGTCCGATGTTTGTAAGTACCAGAACAAAAAGAGATAGACCCATTAAAATGTATACTTATATGATCAGAACGTCGAGCTGAGTTGATTTA